CTAGTTCAGATGGGGTCAGAGTGGAGGGGGGGAGGCCTTAAATCCAATGACGGTTCCTTGTAGGAAGAGGTGAGGATGTGAAGAGAACAGAGGTGTGGGGAGGACGGGGTGAGGGTCCAGGGGTTCCTCCCCAACCAAGGGTCCCAGCACCACCAGCAGCTGCAGGAGGCAGGAGCCTGGGAACAGGTGTGGTCCCAAAACAACTTGATTGCGGGCTTCTGGCCTCCTGCGGTAAGAGGATGCATGTGTGTTGTTTTAAGCTCACACTCCCCAGTCGTGGGCTGTCACTGCGACCCCAGGACACCACACAGGAGGAGAGCCTGGTGGTGACTGAGGTGTGACTTCCACCTGGAAGGGCATGGCCCTGCATGGAGTCTCCATTCCAAGCTCTGAATGTGTCTCTTGACACTTCAGACAAGGGTAAGAGACCAACGCCTGTGGGCGCCCTCCGCATCCCCATGGGCACTGACCAGGCCCTGCAGGGGTCTCTATTGGGGAACACAGCCCTGCTGGCTCAGTGTCCCCCACCTCTGCTGGCCCAGGGCTCAGTCAGAACAGATTTCAGAGAAATGAGGCAACATGACCTGCTCCTCAATCTCCACGCAGGCATCTGGCTCCGCCCACATTGTGTTACTGCTGAGCCCAGGAAGCCAGGTGCTCTGGCTGTGATTCCAGACAAGTGAGGCTGGGGGAGGGGGGACAGCCCTGAGACCATCCTCTGGAGAGAGCCCTGCGGGTTCACCCATGGCCATGCCTGCAGACACAGCCCCAGGCCCAGGCGTGTCTCACTCCAGCCTGCCCTCCAACACCAAGTCCTAGGTCCTTCTTCCTCCCCTGGGAGCGCTGGCTTCTGAGTCACTCAGACCCTCATTCTTAACCCTGGAAACACTAAAGGTCTGACTACACCCTCATCCAGGGAGGAAAGCCCTGCAAAGACTCACTGTCCCCAGAGCCCAATGGCAAGGCAGGCAGCCCACACCCTCCTGGCGGGCACAGGGGACCTGGATGTGTGTGGACCACCTGGCAGCCGCCCATCCACAGGGCCCTGTGGGCAGGGCAGTCACTTGGGCAGAACGTGTGCCTGGAATCAAGGGCGAGGGCACAGGGCCAGGCTGTGCTGTGTCACCCGCCCTCCAACACCAAGTCCTAGGTCCTTCTTCCTCCCCTGGGAGCGCTGGCTTCTGAGTCACTCAGACCCTCATTCTTAACCCTGGAAACACTAAAGGTCTGACTACACCCTCATCCAGGGAGGAAAGCCCTGCAAAGACTCACTGTCCCCAGAGCCCAATGGCAAGGCAGGCAGCCCACACCCTCCTGGCGGGCACAGGGGACCTGGATGTGTGTGGACCACCTGGCAGCTGTCACACACAGGACCCTGTGGACAGGCAGTCACTTAGGCAGAACGTGTGCCTGGAACCCGAGGG